CCCCGATGGCCGAGGCCGCAACTCTCCTTCCTTGGGTTGTGGTCCGCAAGCCCCCCTCTGTTACACCCATTTTTAAAATGAAAAATACACTTGGCTTTCCATCTTAGCATTAGCCATCGTTTGTCAGGAGCCATCCCACAACGAGCCGGCCCTGCCACGGCTGTCCGGGGAGCAAGCGGGACCCCTCTCCCCCGGGGCTGCGGCAGTGTCCATCTCTCCCGTCCCCTCACCGCCCACCCGGACCCCCGGGAGCTGCTCGGGCTCTGCGGGATGACCCCCTCGGCGCCAGGAGATCCTGCTGCCGGTGATGCCGGCAGCCAAAGGGACAGAGCGGTGCCTGCCGAGAGAGCCGCCACGGGGCGAGAAACGGCTTTCCCATTCACAAGAGGTTTTGTGAAGAACAACAGCAGCAGCTTTGGATGGAAATACTCTGATTTGGGGTTTCTCTTCAGTTTTCTGGCAGGGGAAAAGCAGTTTCTGCCAAAACTGCTGGCAGTAAAACATCAGTTTGAGAATCCAAACACTTGCAGGGCGAGTTAAGAGAAAGCAGCTTCATGGGAAATTTTTAAGGCATCCTCCCACAACATGTTTTTTCTGTGAAGGGTGCCCTCGCCCTGCTGCTGCCCATCCCCAGGGCAGCCAGGGGCCGACCTGGGACACCCCAGGGACGTCACCACCTGGGAGACGGGGACCCCCCATCCGGGCACCTTTTCCCCCCCCAACAAAGCCCCCTCCAGCCCCAGTGCTTGAAGCCGAATCAGCGGGGCCAGGCTCGGCCATCGTGCAGGGTACAAGATGCTCCGTACCCGCTCCCTGCCATCCCTCCTGCCGTGCACAGGGGAGGACGCTGAGCCCGAAGCGAAGGACGTGTTTAAAAGCGCTCAGGGACGGCCGCTGTCAAGACGATGTCCCCGACACGGCTCTCGCCTGCATCGCATTACTAACAGCGGCTGAGATTGCGGGGAAGAGGCTAAAGATCCTTCCTACGCCGCTCAGCTCCCTTGTTCCTGGGTGCAGCCACTTTGCTACATCATTTTGCATTTTGCTCATCCTTTTTTCACTGCTCACGGTTATCAGGACCGAAAACATCAGTGTCGGGAGATGTAGCTGGAGGCCTGCGGGAGCCCCCCCCTTCCCACCGCACTGCCAGGGCTGCTGGGTCTGTGCTGAGCAGGGCCAGGACACGGGGTCCCCCAGGACACAGGAGGGTGGAAAGGTCCATTTTGGTTTCAAATCCTCCGTTTTCCTTCCCAGGGAGTGGCTGGGGCCAGCCGGCAGCGATGCCCTGGATGGCTGAGGATGCCTGGGGGAAGCGGCTCTGCAGGGGCTTCTCCACCCCAGGTCCCGGGCAGCCGGCCGGGAGCTGGGTGTGAGATCCTGGGAGAATTCAGAGCATCCCAAATCCCTCTGGCCTCACCCAGCAGCGCCGCTTAAAGGGAACCACAAGCGCGGGGTTCCCTTGGTCTGTCCGGGCTGTGCCCTGCCTGCGCAAGGCAGAGGGTGGGAGAGACAGGCGACCACCCGGATCAGCCTCGGCAGCACCCAAGGGTGCTCCAGGGAGAGGCCAGGGATGGGCTGAGCAGCAGCGGTAGAGGCAGACCCTCCTGCCGCCGATCTGCCAGCCCTGGCACCAGCCGTCAGCTCTGCCCAGGTTGCCAGCCCTGTCGTGGGGCATGGCGCAGCACCCACCTGCAGGGTGGGCTGGGAAGGAAAGCCCACCTTCAGGGTGGGTTAGTGGAGGATGGGGTCTCCCCCAGGACATCGGAGAGCTGGGAAACCTGGGCAGCAGCCAGGCAGCCTCGGCGCGGGTGATGCCGTGGAGGGGCGATGCCGTTGGTGGGGTGATGCCATGGTGGGGTGGTGCCGTGGCAGGGTGATGCTGCAGTGGGGCAATGCTGTGGTGGGGCTCTGCGCCGGAGACAGGGAGGGAGGAATGTTTCCCCCACGCACACGATTGTGTGATGGGATTTTTCCGGGTTTAAGCCCCCAGAACCCTGAGAGGTGGCAAAAATCCCAGGGAAATAGCAGCTCCCTGCTGCAGCCCCTCTGTCCGGCAGCCGTCCTGGCTCCTTTGTCTCCACGTGCCTGCAGCCACCGGCTCCCGCTGTGCCTGCTGAGGAGAGGGGGTCTCGGATGGGGGTCCCTGGGGGCCCAGCAGAGAGACCGGAGGACAGGAAGCCCCGAGTGCACAGCCCCATGATGGCTTTACCAGCGAATTAGGGCCACCTAGAAGGGGACCATCACTAGAGATTGACGGAGGCAGAGGCAAGGGCACAGCTGGGCACAGCTGGGCACTGGGAGGGGACCCCGGAGTCCTGACCCCCCCCAGGCTGGGACAGTGCAGAGGTCCCCAAGGCAGAGCTGCTGCGCTTGTCCTCCCCCAGCCCTGTGCCCCCCATTCGGGCCCTCTTGCCAGGTTTATTTTCCTTTCCCGGAGAACTCCAGCTGACCCAGTTCAGGAAATATTTGCTGACTGGTGGTGGGAGCTGTGGGGAGCAGGGGGGAGAGCAGCGCCGGCTCCTCTCTGCGTGCCTCTGCGCCCGGAGCAGCGTTCACGTCCTCTCCTCCTTCGCAGCTAACGCACCATCCTGGCCGGCTAATGCTTTCCAGACACCCGGCTGGCGGGGGCTCGGGGCTGGGACAGGCGGCGTGCGGGTGTAACGCACCCCCGCGCGCACACCCGCAAGCCCCGCATCAGCTTGCCCCAGCGCTGCCTCCCTGTGTGTCCTCCTCCTCCGTCTCCTCCGTCATGGCAGGGACCCCAGGACTGGAACGAGGACCGAGGGGTCCGGCTGGGACGACGGGAGGGACCCCACTGGGCGTTTGGCTTCGGCTGTGGCGGCGGCCCGGGGCCGGGCAGGGGAAGGGGAGAGGCCAGGAAGGAAGCTGGCATGGCCGCAGGCCAGGGGACAATGCCGGGCCCCGGGGAGATGAAAGGTCCGGTGAGCACCGCGAAGGCGCTGTGCGCTGTCGCGGTTTCCTGGGGAAGTCGGGGGCGCGTGTGCACGTGCGTGTGCGTATGCGCATGCGTGTGCGGGGCACGTTTGGCAGGAAAGGGCGGTTGTGCAGGGCTGCACATGGCTGTGGTTCGCTTTGTGTGTGTGCGTGCGCGTGCAAAAGCGTGCGTGCGTGTGTGTGTGTGCAAGAACGTGTGTGTATACGTGCAAGAGCGCATGTGTGTCTCTGTGTGTGCAAGAGTGTGTATGCGTGTGTGCAAGACTGCGTGCGGGGCTGCCCTCCTCCCAGCATCAGCCCCGCGCCGGAGAGCCGGGCGGATTACGGCCAGGGGGATCACGACTGGACCGCATGGATCACGGCCGGGGGGGGGGT